CACACACACACACACACACACACACACACACACACACACACACACACACACAACTAATCTAACTGAATCAAATCAAATTAAATCTCTGAATATTAAACTAAATCTTGATGAAGTTGTAGTTGAGAGTCCTTCACACAGTCCATCATACTGGACATAACTTAACGTTTGAGGTTTGACCAAAAGAGCTCCACCTCCATCTTTTTGCAGCAGGTAATGTGCATTTCTTCAAGGAACACAAGATCTTTAATTTTAAACAGTTTTAACGAACATGTAGACAAAGTACCATTTAATTAAACTGTAACAAATGCATTCATGTGAAAACTGATACATCAGCAAGTTTCACTCCTGTGACACGCTCTCCACTTCTGCTTCTTGGGATTTTTTTTAAACATTCAACTGCTGCACAGGTTTTCAGGGAGCGTGGAGCTGATTTTTCTGCTGCTCGCTTTGAGCTGTTCAGTTTGATATTTGTGAGTGATTGAGCTTCCTTGTTAGGTAGGCAGTGGCACACATCAGAGGTAGAAACCCACTCAAATCAATAAATGCACCACTGATGGGCTGTCTCGCTCGTTGTGAGAGAGGGATTGAGTCATTTGGAGAGTATTGTGACATATTAAGTGGCAACATTTGTGTCGGTCTGATGGGGATGTGGGAAGATTGAGATGTTGCCTGGTTTGTGAGGACTTGGAAAGATGGAAATCATTTGCAGTGTCGGAAATTTCCGCAAAGTACTTAGAAGTAAAGGGTTATAGTGTTTTTTTTTATGAGCGCAATGCTCCATTATGGCATTAGGTGCACAAGCGTTGCTCTAAAATAAGAGTTATCACCTAATGTTGCTTTATTAAAATAAAAAAAACTAAATCTTGAACATTTGCAAGTTAAAAATATTTTCTACACAAAACTACAATGATATTATTTTTCTTTAATTACCCACATCTATGCAATAAGCCTACTTTGACTTATACTGTAACAAAGTGTCCTTAGAAGACTATATATTGAATTTATGCTATGATTAGTATGTAAAAATCACAAACTATCCTCAAACGAAATGTAAACTATAAGTAAATGTAATTACATTTCTTTCAGAAGTGTTAGCCTCGCAGGCATTATTAGGATTGATCATATTTTACACTTACACATGCCTTTACCTCAGCTGAACACACATGCCAGGAGTAGTAGGCAGACTTATGAAGTGAGTTTTCGATGCTTGTTTGAAGTCTGACTGGCCTGCCCCCGAATGACGTCTCCTCCTTTTGTCTTGTGAAGGTGCCAGCAGGACTATAAATAGACACAAAGTGCATGTGGTGATGGCTGTGAGCTTTGCTCTGCCTCCCTCTGCACCAGAAAACATTGTTTTGTTCTCAATATCAGTGGGCTCGGAAAACAGTCCGGTTACAGCACGGACTGAAGCCTGAGTTCATTTATGTTGTTAGTTATACGTCAATCAGGAGACAGAGGGACGTTTTATAGGCGTGTCTTCCCATCCTGCTCATCAAATATTACCACATGATGTAAAGTTACAAACCATGACACAGGCAACTAAAGACTTGTGAAGCTGCTCTTCTTGATGTTGTTCACATTTTGTACTCCATGTTTTCATTTTTTTGGAGGATGAACAAATTTAAGGAGAACAAGACAACAGTTTGGTGGAATTATTTCCTGATGCTCTTCATTTTAATCAGAGTTGTAAAGTAACTAGGTATAAATACTTTGTTACTGTACTTAAATAGAATTTTTGGGTATCTGTACTTTATTTGAGTAATAATTTTTCATCCTGCTTTTTACTTCTATTCCTTACATTTTTTTTAAAAATATCAATAAGTAAAAAGTTGTTTCTTTTATTTCACTTTTGCTTGTTTTAATTCCAGCTTGTTATTGTAAAAAATAAATACTATCCATATAAACTGTGCCTCCTAGACAGAGTGAATTTAATTGTGGTTGAATGAGAAGTATAAATATATAAAACTCTGATACTGTATTAGTTTGTACACAAACAAATCATGTCACACTCCAGCAGGACAAAATCATTAAAATAAAAGGCCTGTACTTAAGAAGTATTTGTATTTCATGAATTATATTATTGCATTTGGCCGCAGCCCTCAGATAGATTTTAATTTTGGGGAAAAGGTTTGTGCAGCCATGATAAAAACTGAAACAGCTGGACTAGTGCATCCTAAATTTAATGTAAATTAATTATTTTAAAACAATATAGTCATTTCTGCATTTTTTGGGGGAGGTCACCTCCTAATTAAATGTCATTAAATCTAACTGCTCATTTTAAATCAATACTTTGACTTTTAATACTTAAGTACAAGAAATATCAGATATTTTAAGACTTTTACTCAAGTAATATTCCTAAAGAAGACTTTAACTTTTACCAAAGTAATTTTTTGGTAAGATACTTGTACTTTTACTCAAGTATCACTTTGTGGTACTTTTTACAACACTGATTTTAATGGGCTGAACAAGATATTTAAAAACTCTTAAACAAACAGGACATGCTTTATTGTCACATGTATAAAATTATCTCAAGATACCCAAGCTTGTTAAACTTACAGTAGTTTTTTTTTTGTTCTCAGATAATGATTATTGTGTACAAATATATGGTTTTTGTGTTTCACTAAGCTCACTCCTTGAGTACCACTGTCACAACACTATGTAACAGTATTGAGCTGATCAGCAACATGTTCAGATTGTCCTAATTTTTGATGAAGTGTCTCGGTTTTTTTAATTAAGATTTTGAAATAATTTCTGGCTTTTACAAGAAAGTTTTGTGTTCTAAGTCAAAAATTAAAAATATCAACAACTTATCTTGACAAAATAAGCTTCAGTATTTAAAAATAATGGGATAAATAATCTACTATCTTGAGTCCAAGTCACAAAATAAACCTTTTGTACACATAACAATCATTTCTTCTGTTTTAGCAGTGAAAACTGGTGAGGACTGAAGTGAACAAATCACTTTTTTGCATAATTCTTTCACCAAACATATCACATTAAAGTGATTAGCAGAGGTGTATAGGAATTATGGACATTTACTGCGTTACAGTACTTAAGTAATTTTGTGAGAATTTGTAATTTTACCAAGTATTTTTTAATCATTTGTTTTACTTTTATTTTGTTACATTCAAAACATAAAAATGAATATTTTTTTACTTACAAATTTAACACCTAATTACATATTACAAATTTAAATATGACCAGAACTCATCACGAAAGGAGTTGTTTGTGCACTCTAAAAAATGAAGTGTGGAATTGACCTAACCAAACTTAGATTGTGTACATGTTGACAGATTTATTCTGTCTGTCTGTGCTGATCTTTGATCCTATCACATTTAAAGTTTATCACCTCTCTGGTTGTTTTTATCTGCAGTACATCAGTTTTAGGTGCTAATCTCGATGCCTTTTGTTTTACAATCCCATTCACACTGTTCACTTTAGTGCTGTCCTTATTGATTTGCGTCTCTGCCTCTTTTATTCCAGCTTATGTGCTCCAGGTCAAAGTTGAGATGGAACTGGAGATCCAGCAGTGTGAGAAGACCAAGGCTGTTCGAGAGGAGCAGCTGGAGCGTCTCACTCAGATCTGTCAGGAGCAGGCTGTGAGTCCCAACACATCAACATTTAACATCAGAGACAGCTTTCAGAAACACTTCCAATAATAAAGTTCCACGAAGAAAGAGAATAAATTCTAACTTATTTGTGTTTATTCATAAACTGGCTGTTACATCAGTTCTGCATGATCGTTAAAATATTTTTATTATTATGCATCTGTAAGACTAAAGCTTAACAGTGACTTAGAAGAGATCTGAAATGGACTCATCAAAGCTGACTTGTATGAAAGTCCCTGTTCACAGAAAGTGTCACAGCAGGAGAGTCTTTAAAACAGGGAAGACAGATTCAGTTTCTCAAGGGGGAAAATTTAAATTGTCCTAACAGAGAGCCAGTCTAAATCAATATTTACTGAAAAACAAAAATAAATTGGCCTTGATTTTTAAGTTAATTGATCACATATAAATACGAATTACCTTTAAGACATTTTGAACAAACCAAATTCATGGATTAAAGACAAAATATGAAATGTTATGATACAGAATATTATTTTCTTGTGCCTTTGCTCTATCAGCAAAGTTTCATTTAGTTATTTATCACAACCTATTGAATCAGCTAAAAATATATCTGCGCTTACCAAACATGACGTTTGCATTTTACTTTAAATAAAAAGACAATGCAGGAAATGTAACCCTCAACATTTCATCAGACTGTCTGCAGACCCGCCGTCCTTTCATGGCTGCAGTCATCAGTTAGCGTACGATCGGTCCCATTTTATTGCTTATTTTGTATGAAAATGTAAAAACTAATTAAAAATTGATACTTTTATTACTTTGAAAATTTGTCTAACTACCATGAGAATTGTGCTGTGCTAACTGTTTTAAGCAAAATGAGAAAATGATAGGGTTGGTTTGTCATAGATTAGCAGCCAAAGTTATCCTATCTAACTTATCCTGGGCAGATAAAATCATAACGAGGGTCCTGCAGGCCTCGGGTTTGACAGGTGTGTGTTTTATAAAGGTAATGCTCTGACTGGGGCCTGAAGTTGTCTGAACAGCAAATGTGAAGCTATTTTTCCACCAGAAGAGGGCAGCAAGACCTCAAAAACAAGCATCGTCATGCCTCAGATCCACACAGACACAACACTGAATAAAAGGATATATAAATGTTTACTAAAGCAGGTCTGAACAGAGACTTCATTTTCAGAAATTTACGTTTTTTACCAACCTGACACATTAAGTAAAATAATCATACATTATTTATTTATTTATTTATTTTTTATTCACAGAAATTTCAAGCTGCCGTTCATGTTCTCAGTTTAGGTAGCATCTTGTTCCGTGGGACCATATTTGACCTGATGAGTCACTGTTTTTCATCGTTCCTCTGTACTCACCACCTCCAGTTTGAGATCAGGCAGCTGAGGGCACATCTGGCCCAGCAGGACCTGGACCTGGCAGCAGAGCGAGAAGCAGCCATGCAGATCCACCACGCCTGGGGGAACCAGAGCAAGAGCTTTCAGGTGGTCGAAGGTTTGACGCCCGGGGAGTCGGATGACGAGGGCGGTCAGCGAAACCCCAGGGAGCCTCACGCTAATGCAGGTATTTGTATGGTTTTAGAAGCTGTCACAGTGAGTGATGAGACATAGAAATCAAAAATGGAAAATTAGTTTTATTAAGAAAACTGTGTGCAATTTGTAGTTTGTGAGAAAACCAACTTGGCAAACCAGTAGAAATCCACAGCATAAGCATACGTAGGCCTTTATGTGAAACAAAACATAGGTAATGAGGTGACATCAGGTGAAGTGGGAGCTGCAGATGTGTACAGCTAATCTGGAGCAGAAAGCCCCGGAGCATCTCTGAGGCCAAACTCTTAGACCCTCCACGCTCACACACAACACCCATCTGACCGCAGGCGCTCTGGGATCAACAGGGAGAACAGAAAAGCTTTTAGGATCTGAGGAATCTTGGAGAAAACAAGGCCGCTCTCTGACACACGCTCCTCGGTCTTGCTGACCACCTTCTGGCGAGCCCAGTTCTGCCAAACCGGACCGCTTTGAGCTACAGAGTGCTCTGTGCATTGGGCCTTGTTTGGAGAAAGTGGGCTCCTGTCAACATCTGTTCCCTACCTGGAAACCACAACAGGGCATCAGGAGGATCCACAGCGGCCACAGAATTACCCCCAGGGCAAAGTGGGGAATCTGGCTCACAGAAACAAGTGAGGCTTTTTACAGAAACATGGTCATTGGGACGTGCACTTAGGCCACAGGGCTAAAGTCAAGTCAGATGAACTCTAATGTAGTCAAATGTATTTCTGCTCCTCAATGTTTCTGCTTCTTGACCTGAAGGGGGCCTTAAAGCTATCTGGAGCTCTTCAAAAGGGCAGTGGCCTTTAGAAAAACGATTGATACAATATTGTTGTAAAATGATGGATTTAAAGCAGGGGGGTCAAACTCAGTTACACAAAAGGGACAGAATTCAAAACTTGGACCAAGCAAAGGGACGGTTTCCATCAATATTTACTGAAAACATGTTTTACAACATATTTTTCTTATAGAAATATTTCTAAATTTTGTTTATTGTTGCATTTAGAACAGGGGTGTCAAACTCATTTTCACCGAGGGCCACATGAGTGTTATGGTGGCCCTCGAAGGGCCACTTGTAATGAACTTTGATGTTTCATGTTTAACTTTGATTAAACAGAGTTTTAACACGTCCTCTTTTAAACACTGATAAGAACTAAATGTATGACTGACTAAATCTGTAATAAATACAGAAATATTATTAAAAGTAAAACAAAAAAGTTTTATTCAGTGATGAGTTACTAGTGAGTAGCTGCATTATGGCAGCTTTAGTTTATGTTTGATGGTGACTTTAAAGCAGCTTATTTTCAGACATTAGTACTGTGCTATCCAACTAAAYTGCTCAGTTACTTCAAGCCAACAGCTCAGGGACAGGAATTTTTAATTAATTTTTATTTCATTAATTTTGTTAAATAAGTTTGTTGCATTTAACCATAAATTTAAAGTTTACCATTGATATAAGAAACAAATTTTATGTTAAGTAAAAAAGAAAAAAAAATCTTTTTTTTGGGAGGGGACCCCCCACCCGGCGGCCCACACGGGAGTCACCCGTGCCTTGTGTTTGACACATGTGATTTAGAACATACCAACAAATTAAGAAAAAAGACTCACTTTAGAAAGACATCATTAGAATTCATTACTTTATTATATATTAACTTTTTCATTTCTTAGAGATCAATTTTATTACAATTCAGCATATCAGTTAAAAAAAACTTCACGAAAAATCAAATTATTTGACATTAAATTAAGGAGAGAATACAGCAAAAGTGAATTATAGCCGATTCTCTGTTGCTCTTTTCACTCCAAAATCAAAAATTAATGACAATTTCAAACTTCCTTTTCTTGACTAGAAATTTGTCCACCTGTCATCAGAAGAAAGCACTAAATACAGCGATAACACGAGAAACCACAAAACTATTTCACATTTAACGTAAAATAGTTTGGGCTGAATAAAATGATAATCAGGGCCAGATTTGGCCCGCGGGCCTTGAGTCTGACAATTCAGAAAAAAACATTACTGTAAATCAAGCGAACTAAACTGCTTTCAGTGTGTTAAGAGCACACAGGGCTTTAAAGGAGTAGCTCCTAAAGTGGTGTTTGCAGAGATGTTACTGATAGTCAATATCTAACTTGCAGTAGAAAGCACATGAAAACACAATAGTTTATACAAACAGTTCTATAATCCTGTACTCTGCTGGAAGTTTTGCATCTGATGGGTGATTATAGCAAACATTGTGTTGACTGCTACCAGTAACAGTAAAAGAAACTCGTGCTTCAGAATAGATCGTATTAGATATAAATAGGTGAAGAACTGTGGTTCAAGTGAGCACTGTCGAATGGATTTTTACACTACGGTCCTCTAATTGCTCTGTGTGGTTATCCTTAAAATCTTCTGTCCTGCAACACTAGTTTCACATGAAACATTACTGGTACCAGACTGCAGACCGACACACTCATCACTGAAGGTATCTTTCTTTCTGGCTGCAGGTTCTCCTCCTTCTTTTCACCTGTGGTGTTTCACTAACGCTTCAAACATTGAAATTACATTTTGGACGTGAACTAAGAGGACCTTTGCATGTCACCTCTTCTTTTTCACAGTCAGATGACAGCACGGTAACTCGAGTGTCACAGACAGAAAAGGAAAACCTTTTATGTGTGCTGGACAACCTATTCTTCTTTTTTTTTAAAGACTCATGTGTTATTAATTGTGAAGGGATTGTCTCAGTCTTGTTGCAGAGAGTGCAATGCTTCCTCTCAAGGGGTGGCTCTGGGATTAATATTTTAGACAGAAAAATAAATGAAACTATCCATCAGAGTCTGCTGCGTGTCCCGCGGGACGAGGGCTAGCACTCAGGGTACTTCTGGGTTCGCACTCAGCCGACGGACAGTGAGCTCGAGACCAATCAAGCGAGCAGAAGAGCGCAGCAGATCGCAGACATTTGCCATGCACACGGAGGCCGGCTCGACCGGAGGGATCCGCGCTTGAACAAAGAACTCCTGGTTTTTCTTATCCCTGCCACCACCACCACCACCACACACACACACACACACACACACACACACACACACTGTCCCAGTTTATTCCTAGCTATATAATGTGCAGCGTAGCAGCATGTGCATGATCCTGACCGCTTGCCTCCAAAGCATCTGTGGCCTGGGGCGCAAGTCCTCCCAGTCAATATTATGTTGTAAACATAAGATATATTTTTCACTGGAACCAGTTTGTGCTGTGATTACTGAAATAGACCCACAGTACTGATGGCATCTGTGACATTCACAATAAAGTCGGGGGTGTTTGTTTGTGTTTGGAATAGTTCACAAACAATTTATGCTTTATTTTCCAACACAGAGGAAACTATAAAAATGTGTTCAGGAAAACTTATAAATAAATATTCTTTACATTTTAGTAGTTTATTACAACAGTTGGATTATGTACATATTCATTTGAAATCCATATTTTTTCATAATGTCTTAGTTTCTGTGAAAATAATAGTAAAATATGTACATTCACAGATGATGCACTTTTTATCCGAAGCAATAACCACAGTGGTTCCCAAACTATTTCTATTGGACCCCAGTTTGGTTTATAAGAAAAAAATCTCCCCCCAATCCGGGCTCCCACATTTCCAACCAAACACAAAGGTATTTTGTTTTTAAAGTTTATTGCAGTTTATTTCACATCTCCAACTTTTTTTGAGCAATTGAACTAATAAAAGTAAATTATAATAACATGCAATTTGGAATAAAATAATCTACAACCTTTTTATGCAACAAATCACCTTTATAACATAAATATTTAAAGTAGTGATTTATAAAAACATGACGATTAAAAAAGACACTTTTATCACTTTTTTGTGTTTATGTGGGTACGCCATTAAAAACATGTGCGTTATGCCTAGCATTGTCCAAGCATTCCCTTTGGGAGCCATTGAATTAACACTTAAACACTTCAACTAATGTCATTCATATTCATTATATATTTCTTTATATTTTTTTTTATTCAGATCCAGTTGTACGTGATGACATGAACAATTACATCAGCCAGTATTACAGTGAAGTCAGCAGTGGTAAGTCACTATTTACACCATTCTACCCAACAAAGGATTAAAAACTCCTGTTCAGATTTAGTTTTAGTGGTTTACTGGTCATGAGTCAAACACATAAATCCCACAAAACACTTCTTCTTGTTTTACCACTACTACAGAGGGGGGAAAATACCTGGTTACATATTTAAAAGTAAAATGGGCAAAAGCCTTGAATCAGGGCTATTCAACTGGCGGCCCGCAGGCCATAGCCGGCCCGTGAGTGACCAAACTTCGGCCCACCAATTGGTTCATTCATCTCTTAATCCCAAACCCCCGGTTTTCTACTTTAGTTACTCTAAGTTCTTTTAGTTAAACGTAGACATGTTTGATATCTACAGAAACGTTAAAATCTTGGCTAGAAGCTGGTGAAAAACATTTCTATAAACACTCAAGACAGTTAAAACTACAAGCAGATGAAGATAAAATGATGAAAGTGAAAATAAAATTGGTTTAAAAATTTGGCAAGAGATGCCAAAATATTATATGTGTCAAATGGGAGGCAGAATGTGTTCTTTTTGTATTTGATAATGTTTAATTATCACTACTTTTAGAGGGTTCTGTATGTAGTTTTCATGATTAAATGCAGCAAAATAAACTAATTCAATGGTAACAGATCTTTATAATACTTGGTTTATTTACATAATAACTTTAATTGCTGGATGTTCGGCCCCTCAGCTGTTGACCGGCAGTAACTGTGGCCCCCGGAGCAGTTTAATTGAAAAGTCCTGCCTTAAACCATCACTAATAACCGTGTTTAAAGTGTTTACAGTTAAAATATAAAGTGCTGAAATTTGTTTTCATTTTTTTTTCCTAAATGGGAATGTTTTAAGATGCTGGAGCATCAGGCCTTGGCGCACGGGTCATCACCACGGCAGCCATCGACGTCCACCTCCCCAGCAGCACAAACCCCATCCAGTCGAACCCACTGCTCGCCATGGAGCGGGTGGGCAGTGCCGTGAGCGACGCCTCCACTAGCATGTCGCGGTCCAGCGGCAGCCTGACGCCCCGCCCCCACAGCCTGAGCAGCCACACCCCGGGTTCATCCATGACAGACTGCAGCAGCAGCGCAGCTCAGGACCTGAGTCTCAGCTACAGCTCCCACCACTGCTGCCCCCCTTCCTTCTCAGGCCAGGACCCCTGCAGGGACCCCAGCGTGGTGGTGCAGGAGCTGCTCTCCTCGCTCTCCGAGGACTCGTGTCTGGCTCGAAAGGGCCTGGCGGTGGACCCTGTCAACCTCAAGCTTCCCAGTCCTACTGGCTCAGAGAACGCCAGCCCCGAGCTGGACAATCGAATCAACATTTTTAATCGCAGGAACCAGGAGGAGAGGCGGGGCCGAGGCAGAGGCTGTGTTCTGCTGCAGACGAAGCCACTGATCCACCTGCAGGGCAGCTCCACCGAGCCGACTCTGGAGGAGAAGTACCGGCTGCTCGGCCCGGCCGACTCGCCTCTGGGACACATGCCTGACACATAAGCTACATTTACACAGAAACAGAAGCTTTTATTCTCGTTTTTACAGCCATCCTGTTTGGCTTACTTCTGATCTCTAGTGACAGGTCAAACCTCAAGAGAGGTGCAGACATGAGGTTTGAAAATGGGATTTTTCTGTCGCTGTGTAAATCCAATCTTAGCTGGTTCAGAACAAGCTTGAGCTGCAGCTTCCAGCTAACACTGTTGTTCCACGACTTGTTCAGAGGTCTATAGTAGAAATCACAAAAGGAATTCGTAGGCAGGGCCCTTTGCCAAAAAGTTCAAACCTCTTGTTTTCCTCCAAATAGATGTCTGAAATCAAAGCTACCCAGATATAGCACAAAACAAAAACTGGAAGCTCCCGGTTTGCAGGAAGCTTGACGTGTCTTTGGACTTGATCTTCATCAGGAGTTCTACCTTAGAAGAGGTCAGACATGCACTGATTTTCACAAGAATTAAAACCAGCAAAGGGCCGTTTAAGCCTATACTGAACAAAAACACAAATGCTGAAGAAATTTCAAACGGTTTAAAAAAAGTGTTTTCTTTTTGAACTTTTCTGCATATGCTTTATCTTTATTTGTACTTTAAATGTTGAACATGCTGTTCAAAATGCCACAGGGTACAAAAAAAAAACAGGACAAACTATTTAAACAGCCAATTTTTTTACCTTTGCTATTCTGCTGTGTGTTTATTTGTTCTGAAACTACAAACTATGTTTATAAACTTGATAAATAGCATTTTCTTTTTGTTTGTTTTGTTTTCACTAAATATCAGGAAGGGTGTATTTGTGCAGATGAATTTAAAAAAAAAGTTAACTGAGTGGTGTCTTCACATCAAAGTAGGGCGGAGTGCTCGTAGCATGAACCTTTAAAAGATCTGTGCCATAAATGGTGAGCAAGTTCTTTGCACTTTAATGTTTACAGACACTTTTGTAAACTTGATATGGAAGAAGTTGTTGCCAAATGCAGGTGTTGTTATTTGAAATAAAAGAGCAAAAATAAAAGTATTTCTCCTTATGACTCTGCCCTAAAATTCACTGACTCGTGTTCAGAGGAAACTGGTCAAACCATTGTTGAACCGTTTAAAAAGGCGTCACACATTGTTTCATCAGCACCACCGTCTCTGCATACGGTTGTGAAAATGTTGAATTATTTAAGGTTATTAGCAGTAGACCTGTCACAACAACTTTTAATTGCTGAAGTCACAGGATAAGTCACCCCGCCCCTCATTATCATCTTATATCATTAATTCAGAGGATAAACTGCTGTACCATTTTGTTGCCTGTCAAATGTTTACAACTATCCAGAGATTGTTTTAATTGTTAATAACAATCACAAATACAGTCAGATTAGATCTGCAATACTGGATAAGAAAAACTTCAATTTGTGTTTGGCCAATAATATCTTTGTAGTAACAAAGCATCTTGGTAATTAATCTTATCCCATTGAAAAATCTGTTAATTCTCTTTTAAATGGTGCCACATTTGTAAGGAACATGCATTTGTGGGATGAGCAGTGTAGTCTGTGGGTTGCGCACATGAAAAAATTGCAAAATCTTCTCTGCCAAACAGCTTATTTTTCTGTTACTATTGACTCTTGTTTTGAGCTTCTGGTACCCCCGGGTGCTGTCAGTCACAATATTTTTTACTAATAAGCATTGTTACAACAAAAAAACAACTGACCAAACACAAATCTCCTTGCTTTTTGTGCTAAGCATGCAGTATATTAAAAAAAATGCTCATTATCAATATGAGTCTTCACATTAAACAGTTTCCTCTTGGTAAACTCATACACATGCCTTACTTAGAACACAGCTGTCTGCTTTGGTGTTATTAACAGCGAACACATGGAGCAGTGATCCTCACCGATGCCAGTCACAATGTGGGGGGACACAAGGTTTCTGTGAAGAGTCCAGGTCTGTGTTTGGATTGCATAAGCAGTTGTCAAGAGGGTTGTGTAAATTGGTACAAGTTACGACAATCTTTCTTTAGTGTAGTGTGTGTTGAGCATCTGTGTATGTGTGTGTGTGTTTGTGTGTGTGTGGGGGGTGTTTCTGGTGACATTTGGGGGCAATGTTAAGACAAAAATCCTACATTTGGGGACAACTGGTGCATTTGAGGACCTAAGTTGAGTCCCCATTTGGTTTAAATGCCATTGGTGGGTTGGGGGTTGGGTTTAGGACCAAGGTGTGAATTGAGTTTAGGTTAGTTTTAGGGTCAGGAAGGTACCTGTGAGGTTAGCCTTAGGGTTTGTGGTCAGGGTTAGGCTGTAACGGAAATCAATAGAATGTCCCCAAATGTATAGCTGGGCAAACCTGTGTGTGTTTGTGTGCAGGTCCCTTCATGTATCCATTGGTTCCAATCCAGGGTCACTTTGACATTAGAATGCCTCCCATGTTAGCATGACATGGCCTCATGCAAACCCACAATGTGAGCCCTGTTAAACTTTAATAAGCAGTGTAATGCTCCCAAAAAGAGAGACAAAATAATATATAAGAAATATAATTTAAAAAGTAATAACTCCGAAAGATTTGATTACAAAATGGTTCTAAAAGCTAGAGCCAAACTTTTTACAACTGAAACACCTGTTTGTAACATTAATAAGTTGTACGTTGTAGAGAATCTTTAGTCAAACAAGCTTTTTGCAAAACACCAAAACTACTTCTTTCAACTTTTCCCTCTCCAAATGGTAAATAAATGGTAAATGGCTTGAACCTACTTAGCGCCTTATCAAGTCCAATTGGACCCCAAGGCACTTTACACTTCAGACATTCACCCATGCAAACACACATTCACACACTGATCTTCAAGGGTCTCCAAGGGTTACCACAGTGGATCATCCACCTCCATCTTTCTCTGTCCTCACTACAACTATGTCCTCTCTAACTGCATCCATATGTCTCCTCTTTGTCTTTTTCTTGCAGCTGCATCTCCAACATCCCTCTACTAATATATCCACTGTCCCTCTGTTGGACATGTCCAAACCATTCCAGTCTGAGCTCTCTAACTTTATCTTCCAGTCGTTAAACCTGTGTTGTACCTCTGATGATCTCATTCCAGATGAAACCCCCGAAACATATAATTGGTTGCCTTCAGGCCCAGGCCTCCCTTGAAAAAGAAATCTGTGATCTCAACAGGACTTGACTGGTTAAATAACAGTAAATAAATAAATCCTGTCCATGCTGGGCCCTCTCAAGGAGAAGCTCAACATCTTCAGCTCTGACACCTCCAGTTCAGTTTCCTGTGTTTTTGTGAAGAACTGTCTCCAAACCATACAACACAGCTGATCTCCTCTCTTGTAAACCTTACCTTTGACCTTTGTTACTACCGTTTTGTCACAATGGGTTTTTTTTTTTTGAAAAATTTTTTTTCCGTCCTGCCTGGACTCTCTTCTTCGCCTCTTTATCACCCTCCCTGTGCTCCTGGACACTCAACTTGAAGTCCTGCACCTTTGGGACCTCTGTTCCTTATAGCCTCACTGTTCCACCTGCCTCCCTCTCATTCAGACACAACCCTAAATCACACAAAAAATAAATAAATATAAAATAAAATAAAACTAGATACCGCATAATAAAAACATAATGACCCCTGCACGCAGAAATGCACCAGAACTCAGAAGTCTTTATTCCTAATAAATGTCATGCTACTAGGTGCCTCCCAAAATTATAGTGGTTTGGATGGGGGTCTTTTTTGGGGCGGGGGGCATTGGTTGACCTGATGGATAGCCCCTCATCAGAGCTAAACAACAAAAGAAATCAGAAGCTCCTATATTTAATGGTTTTTGAGAAATAACCATTTTTGTAAGTCCAGGCACCCCTTTTTCAGAGAAATTGGGGGTCCATGGGGGTGGGGGGCACTGATTGTGGGCCTGACGGATAGAGCTTCATCAGAGCTAAACAACCCAAAAAATCTGAAGCTTCTATGTTGAACAGTTTCTGAGTTATAAGCATTTTTGCATGTCCTGACACCCCCTCTTTGAAAGGAGCCCCCTCCTCAAATATGGGGTCTATTGTAAAACCGTTGGCTGGTGCAGTGTAGGTCAGAGTCCTGTCAAATGTCATGTTGATTGGTGCAGCCGTTTTTGTGCTACGGTTGACCAAAAATCTCCGGAGGAAAAAAAAGAATGAAAACAAAATGACTCCTGCTTACACTTCGCGTGCGGGGGTCATAATAAAATAAAATAAAATAAAATAAAATA